TCTTTTCTTTTTTTTTTGTTTTTTTTTTCTGTTTTTTTTTCTGTTTTTTTTTTTTTCTCCCATAAGCTGAATTTGGATGTTTTGTGGACTGATGCCTTTTCTGCATCTCTGAGGAGTGTTGCTTATTTCACAGGAACCTATATGTGGATTCTTTTTTCATAAATGCTGATAATTCTTTTTTCAAGCTTAGTGTAATTTCTCAAATACAGTATGTGTCCCTAGATAAATGTTGTTTGAGAACTGGAGATATACTGCAGCTGGTGGGTGATATCTGGTACTTTCAGATTCACAGAGGAGAGTCACCTTCCTTAACTTGAAGTATCCAAAAGTTGAGTGTGATATATGCTTGTTTAGGCTCCGTCTGGAGTGCATGGAGAGAGACATGTGCAAAAGATGTCACTCAAAGATAGGCATCTGGAATAGATAAGAGGATGTAAGAGTTTCAGTGGAGAGCTACTCACTACAGAGAATGCCTCACTGATGCTTAGACCACACTCCTGGTTCTTAGGTGACCTGAGATTTAAAAATTTAAAGTGTGATAAAACATGGCAACTAGTAACTAAATGAAGCATTATCAGAGAGCACTAAATACTTTATAAAAATAACATTGCCTTGGCTCTGTAAATTTTCCAACAGGCTTCTTGGGGCGGCTCAGCTTTGATATCAAGAAAGCATCGCAGACTTCTTCATGGTATTCAAAGGTAAGGCAGTTTTAGTTCATGGTCACTCTTATCAGGGACTGAGATGGACAAATGTGGCCTAATGGCCTCTACGAAAGCTGTGTTTTCCAAAATATGTACTATTATTACTTATGGGGGGGGAGTAGAAGGGAAAGTCTGATTTATCTACTTGGAATGCATTTAAGCAGTTTTGACTCAAGTATCAATGATTATAGGTGCAATTTCTGTGCCTTCTTACCTTTCTCCCTTTGTAAATTTGTAGGGCAGATTCTGTTGCCTGGAATCCCCACAAAATGCTGTTGGCAGGAATTCAGTGCTGTGCTCTTCTGGTGAAAGACAACTCTGTAAGTCTTTCCATCTTTTTTTTTTCTCCTTCTCCTTTTTAAATGTAGTAGAATGTTATTGCTGTAATGTAGAAGTGGAGATAAAAAGAAAACAATTGTTAGCCAATTTTACTATACTGCAGTACAAAGGCTGAATGATGTTAACTGATACTATTTTCCATTTCATTAATAAATTAATAAAAATTAAGAGAGCAGGACCAAACAGACACAAGTCACTGTACACATCACTGGTCAAACTTTGCAGCTGGTGCCCTTCCTAGTTAGCTTCTGTATATGATTTACATTCAGAATTGAGTATTTTGTTGGCTGGGTCTGCAGTGCTTAAACACCAAGTCAAAGTCTTTAGAATAGCCATAGCCATTGGGACTGCAGTAGTACTGTGTCATTGTTTAAAGAGTGCCATCTACACAGAACTACTCTTTGCATCTTCTTACGTGGGTTCACCAGAGTGAGAAAGTAGAAGGATAGTTGTGGGAGTTGTGGGAGTTACATTCGATCAAAGATGCTGAGCCTTGTTTTCTCAAATCTACTACTTTTTCCTCTTCAGCACTAGGGTAATTTAGGCTTTCTAAAAACTATGAGTAGTTAAAAGATCTAGCAAGCAAACAAAGCTCTGATGACAAGTGTTGCAAAAATGACTTGAGTCTGCAGCGTGATGAGTCTTTATGGAATTCTTCCATCTCAATAAAGAAAACAGTAAATGGTTATTTAAAAAACCACTACAAATTCAGCCCTGCAAAAGCTTATGTACATTGTTACCATGAGAGTTTTAGCTTGTGCTTGGCTTTATCAATGACTGAACATCATGAGGATATGAAGTCCCTGAGGTTTACATAGCTGTTTTGTGGTCATGGTCTGTAAATTAGTTTTAAAAGTTCCTGTCAAAACAGCTGATGGTTTCTATTCAGTTGTGAGTTATCTGTCCATGTAACTGATTACTAACTCTTGGTAGTAAGAACAGATGAGGTCTAAAGGGCACAGATACTAATCAGCGCTCTCTTGGAGCAGTTAATTCCAAGTTGTGGGCAAGACATGATAGAAGAACAAGATGTGATTCCTCATTTCCTTAGGCTGGGGTCTGTGGAATTAAAGGGGATAGGTTCCAGGACTATCTGTCAGTCACTTTATCTTTATTCCAGACTGAAAAAGCAGCATAATAGAGTTATTGACTAAGGTTAATGTAGTCTCTAAGTTGCAGGCTTTGGAAGAACTCAGCACTGTATTTTTAACTAATTAGGCCCAATATATAGATAGATGTAGCCTCAGGTAATGATTACACTACTTAGGCTGCATACTGGAAACTTCTCTGGAAGAGAGAGGAGAGAAATGGAGAGGAATGAAATATTTTATCAGTGTTGGCATTTAGAGTCTCTTTATAAACACTGTTCCAACTCCAGGACTTTGATAGCCTTTGTATTCTTGCGTAGAGTGTAATATCTGTTAGAGCACTCCTATTCAACTTCTAAATCACAGCTATGCAGTGTTGTGTCAGAAGTTCTTGTAGAGATCAATCCTAGGCAGTTGAGAGGTGAAATAACAAAAGTGTTAGTGATCATACAATCAGATTCTGTAGTACAATGTGGCATGGTCCGGAAAGTGGAAGAGAGGGTCTTACATTGTGTTTAACTCCTTGAAAAGTGGCATTTAAGCATTTTGTATATGAAGCAATGTAAACTTTGTATGCAAACATGAGTGTGTGCTAATTTGGGGTGCTTTCTTACCAGTCACTAAGGAAAATGAAATGCATGTTTAAGACACTTCACCAGAAGGGCCTTGCTTCACTTTGATCCCTTCTATACCAGATCCAGAGCAGGGAGTTGGATCCAGTCTCTTTTTTTACCATTAAAAATGCTATTCGCACACTGGTATGAATAGGGAAGGATGTGTTTCCAGTTCTTATTTTGAATCGTTTTCTACTGCTCCTTAATTACTTATGTCTGTTGTTACAGATGAAGTCAACATATAAATATGAACGTAATCCCCTAGCTCTATGAGTAGGATGCTGAGGTGGGAGCTGGAGGAGTTTAGCACAGATTGCTCTGTTAGTAAATGTTCAAGTAGCCTCAAGAGGTTAGTTTCTGAAAGATGAATTCTTCAGGAAGTCAGACCAGAAAAATGTTAAGCACTGACATTAACTGCTGCTGTTGTATCAAGCCTTAGCTCCCTTTTGAAAGCTTCATTAAGGAAGTTTTATAGGCTTGACTGTCCATTTGATTAAAGGTCCATTTGGAAACTGAAGATAATATTAGCATTGGAGTTGGGTGATTTTAAGTGGACAAAATAAAGCCTTTCAGGTCTTTTTCTTTTTTAATGTAAAGACCAGGCTTGGTGTTTTACTTTGTTTCAACGGATGATGTTCATGATCTTGAGAGAGAATGATCTGGTAAGAGTAGTAACATCCTGTTTTCCTACTAGCAGCAGCAATAGTGACTGGTTTGGTTGTATTATTATACTGGATTATTATTATCACTATCATGTTTTTTCTTTTTTGCCCCATAGCATCAGTGAAGCTATGTACTTTAGCAGTGCTGATAATCTGAAGACATTGCAGCTAGATTTTTAGAATGAAATGCTGTATTTACATTCCTGTACAGACTTTTTTAAAACAGTCTACAGGGAAATGTTGAGTAAGGAAATCTTCCAGCCTTCATGAAGCAAAGTTGGAGTGGTTTCCAAAGAAGACAGATTAAAAAAAGAAAGAAATATGTGTTTGACTTGATTAGAAGAAAGAAGCCCTTTCACCAAGGGGAAAGAGAGATTGGTTAGTACTCTGAAAGGGATCAGATCAATGACAATAATTTCTCAGTGCTTAAATCACTCAAGAAATGCACAGCTATCACTTCTTCACTGCCATAACCTGAATAGCTTTCATCACTTTTGTGACAAGATATACTTCCTCAGAACAGACTTGTATTGCTCTGGTATGAATTGCAATGATTGTTTAAACACGGAGCTAGAGGGACTGGTACTCTGAAAAATTTAGTGAGTGTACTTTGTTCTTGTATGTTTTTAAAATGCTATGAATCAGCCTGAGGTTGTGCAATAATCCCTTAAAACCTCACAGTTACTCCAAATAAAGTCCTTCAGGTCTTTGGATCCTTGCTGTAATCTATATAAATATGATTATTATCATATATATATAGATAACTAATATTCATCAGAAATACCAAAGTTCTGTGACTCTTCAGATCTAGGTTAGATAATTAGTCATCCATTCTGGGGAATGAACAGAATTTTCACTTACTGCTTAAAAATAAAATCTAAAAGAATGTAGCTAACGAAGTCCCAGTTTAGCACAGAATGTTATTGATTCTGCTAGATATACCTACAGTGTAATCTCTTCCACATAATTAGCAGTGTCACAAAAATATCTAATTCACTGATTTTTTGTTATTTTTTTTTCTGGAGCAGCTGCAAGAAGCACTCTGTTTCCCACGATTTCTATTTGGGGTTGATGCTGCTGAGAGCTCGTTCTCACCTCTGGAAGTGAATTACAGAGGTGGCCTTTTGTAGTGCACTGCTTTTGATAATTTTCAAATACGCCACTCAAAAGATTGTCCTTCTTGCTTTAGATGAATGAAATCAGGAAGATATTTGTCTTGGGAGAAAAAGCTATTCATGTTGTATTAATAAAATTCAAACTTATTACTGGCATTGGAAATGGAAAGATATCAGAAGATGTGCAGTAGATAAGTGTGTTCAATGAGGAAAAGGATGTTTTGAATTATGTACTGTAAGGAACTGGATTGGGTTTGTATTGGTTTTGATATCAATAACTATTTATTTATTTGCGGTTAATTATAACATATAACAACAGTCTGTAGACTTGATCAAAACCAAGAACTCCTAGCAACTTATTGTGGAGTAGGGCTTTTATGAAAGTACGTTTCCTTTTTCTGAAACTTTTAACAGCCTCAGTATAAGATAGAGCACTATAATTAGTTCTGATCAAAGGGTAGAAACAGATAAAAGATGCTGAAGGAAGGAAGAATCTCAAACTTGCAAATAAGTCAGTTCTAATGAAATGTTTGAGATTCTTCTGAGCTGACGTAGCAACTCAGTTGCTGTGTGGACAGTCATAGAGGTCATCTTGCAAATGGCAGCGTTGAGTTAGAAAGCATACATTTTCTTTCAGTTCTTCTATACTTTTCCTTCATTTGACTGGGAAAACAGAGATAACATTTAATGTGCACAGCATGTTTGAGCTTTTTTACTTTTGCATCAACATTGATCACAGAGTAACTGCTTTCTTGAGCAGGAAATTTGTATTGGATTTTTTTTTTTTTTGCTTCCTTCTGTCCTGTACCCTATCCTGTAGCTTTTCCCTTACTCTTCCACCTTGCTTCTTGCATTGGTCTGGCATACTCCCTTTCCCTTCCACAAGACATTAATTTTTGTTTTTTCCTCCTATCTGATCCAGTGATATGCCAGGGATGTAACTGCTTCTCTCTGGAGAGAGCAGCAGGATTTCTTGAGTGTGTCTTATTAGTAGTAAGATAAACAGATAGAAAGAGACAATCGCACCAGCATGTCCTGTCAGTTTTGGAAGCACCAGGAGAGTAGGACACTAACAGAAAGTTGAATCCCTGCAGAAGCAGTGGAGAAGAATTCTTCATGTTGTTTTTCTCCCTTTGTGCTATTCAAATAGACATGCAGGGTTTCTTTTGTTTATGATTTTTTTAAAGTATTGACAGAGGGAATTGAAAAAGCAGGGTCAGAAGGAGACTATTCTGTATGTGCCAATCAAATATTTCCAATTTTCATATATTTTTGGAGTTCTCTATCTTGAATCTTTTTTCTTTTTTTTACTACTACTAAAGTTACCAGCAGTATATTGCAAATAAATTAAGAACTACCTCCTCCTTTAAAAGTGATGTCAGCTACTACCATTTGGAATTCAGACTTGGAGCCAACAACAGAGAAATGGCTGAAGTTGGTTCAGTTGGTTCAAACTGAGGGGTGGTGCTCAATTGAAAAATGAATTATGGTGTTCACTAAATAGTGTAGCATCTTTTGCCATGTTGTGCCCTTATTGTTTATTGTTCTCTTTTGTATGGAGGATTTCTAGTTCTCTTACATAGACATCTGAATTTCAGTCAGATGCTATAGCCATGTTTTTAACCTCACCTGAATTTCTATTCTAGTATTATTTTAGAGATGTTTTTGTTCACCCACATGTAATATCCCTGACAAATCTATGACCCTGCCTGTCTCCTGTGCTTATTGGAGGGCCACTGTCACCTCTGACCTTTTAACTTCCCTTCTGCTAGTGCTTCTCTCTACTTTTCTTTCTTCTGTCAATGGCTACTCCTTTGTCTCTTTTCCTCCCCCTCACCTTTAAACCTAAAATAGCCTCTTTGCTTTCTTGGCTTTGTTCTTTGCTGGAACGTGTCACGGTACTCATTTTTTTGTCTGTTTTCTGCTGGTCATCTCTGCCTAGACAGCTTTTCAGAATTTGAGGGACTGTTGGAGAGTGCTGACTAAAAATAATTTCATTAGTAATCCTTAATCAAGGTACACTAAAGTACTTGCTATTTTCAAATTGTCTGATCTGTGAATGGAGACAGAAATTGGCATTACACTCATCTGTCACTGGTATTTCCCCTGAATCAGTCAGATAACAAACGCTAGATACGCAGAAACCATCTACTGCTAAAAGCTAAACCTTTTGGTTTGGGGCTAAAACATTCTTCACACAACTAACTGTGCCACGTGTAAAGTTTTTTGGCCTTTAAGGAAAGAAGAAATATATTGAGCCATTTGTGAAAGTGTAAGAAACTCCTCAGTCTGTTTTTTTTTTTTTTTTCTTTTTTCTTTTTTTGACCTACAGGCTATAGCAGTGGACGCAGGCTTTTGTTTCTCTTTCTTCCCAATATGTTTATGTCTTTGGGGAGCTGTTTCTATGGTACCCACATCAGCTATTTCTTGAGATTTGTGGCAGAATTGCTCTTCAACCTGCAATGTTTTCTTGTAGTCAGCACTGACTTTAGTGGGTTCAGGCTAATCCAGCATTCTAAAACATAACTAACCAGTGGTGAATGGTGTGTTGCACATGCACTTTTTTTTTTTTTTAACAGAGCGGTTGATTCAGAGAGGGAAAAAGGATTTGGCTTGTGAGAATAACAAGTTTTAATACTTTCTTATCTAAACCTCTGTTGTGTTTCCAATAGGGCCTCCTGAAGAAGTGTTACTCTGCCAAGGCTGCATACCTGTTCCAGCAGGACAAGTTCTATGATGTCAGCTATGACACTGGTGACAAGTCCATTCAGTGCAGCAGACGTCCAGATGCATTCAAATTCTGGCTCATGTGGAAAGCATTGGGAACCACAGGCCTTGAGGAGAGAGTGAACAGAGCACTGGCTTTGGCTAGGTACCTCCTCATGTTTTTTGAATAGTCTGTTTCATTGATTGTCTGAAATGCTGACAGTGCTGACACCTCTTAGAACAGACCAAACTGTTACTTTTTTCCCGCTTTTGTTTCTGCATAACATGAAGAATAAATTAGTAGCAATAGCAATAATAATGAGTGTGATTAAATTTGCTAAAATATTTAATAGTAATTATTCCTTGTAAAAATAGGGATAGATGTTGGTTAAAAAAAAGTGAATTCCTCTATCGATCTATGTTGTTTAATGTCTGTGATATATGATCTGGGTATAGGGTAATGCTTACCAGTGTTCCCTCCTCTTTCTAACTCGTAACTGTATGTTCTAGTATTAATGCAAAAGGAGCACCGTGTGCCAGGCTCTGAGCCGTGTCTAGCAAGAAGTAAATTTGCCATTCTTCTGTTCCCTTAATTCCTCATGACTAAAAAACACAGAATGCCAGTGATGTTTGTGGGGAAATTCATACAAGGATGCTGCTAATGTTAGAAAGTAGTAGAACTACATGAAGATGGAGGCAGATTTTCTTTTTGAGGTAATGCATGCTTACTTTCATAGGTTTACTGAAATTCTTAATGCTTATAGTATGTTCAGTTAGGAGCTGAAATGTCTTTCTTTTATGGTGGTTAGTTAGTGTTTATTTTTTTTTCTTTCCAATTTTACTACTTTTTTGGTCTGACAACTGGATTTCACAAGTGAAATTCAGGAAATTCTTGCTGGAAGGTGTTTCTAAAATGGTGATGTCTTGGGAATAAACTCCTGTATACCAGTTGTTTTGTCTTCTAATGGAAGAGAGAATATTGAAATAACGGCCCATTAAAAACAATTCACTTAAAATACTGTAATTATTCAGAATGTGCACAGAATGAACTGTATTGAAATCTTTGCCCACTCCTGGGCTACCGATATGTATATACCTATAGTGCACTACTATAATACAAATCATCAGTATTTAAAGGCAGTCATCCATATCATATTGACATTTTATTTTTAATATAAGCCACCAAGTTTAATAGAACTTAATGTTTACTGAAAATTAGAGGAATAGTGTCACTTTAACAAAGTCACTTAAAGGAGAAGTTGAAATGTTCATGGCTTAAACCCAGAGTGGATTAGGAAAGAGTAAAGAGAGAATCAAAACCAGAAAAGCCCGGTTGAGCTTTGGCCTTATTCTCTCTGATTTCTTCAAAGCCACTAATTATTTTACTGATTATATGCCCTTAAAGTCTTCTGATTAGATTGCACCTTGTATTTGTTCTGAAGCATTGTACTGATCTGTGTCTGTACAGAGTCTGTAATTCATTCCATTATCAGTAGTAGAATTCAGCCTTATGAAGGTCACTGGCCAAAGTCATCTGACTGAGTGCAGAGTGATTAATGACTTCTCTTGGATCAATATTTTCTTTAAATGTTAGGATTCGGCTTCTAAGCTGAGTTCAATTCTAAGGAGTGACTGGGATTTTTTGTTTCTTATTTTTCTGTTGCTTTAAGAAGAAAATTAATTTTTAGTCATTATCTGATGAAGTATATTCTTTGTAGTAACTGCATTGCTATCTTGAGTTTGCATGTACATGAGCACTTTGCAGCTGAGACATCAGGTTTACTGGGCATGATGCCAGGTTTCTTAACTACCCAACAGCTGTGCAGTCTTTATCCTGATTTGTTACAGTAGATTTTACTTTGCTATTCCTAAGATAGAATTTCAGTATTTTTGAACACAGACCTGGATTAATTCTGGAATTGATACGTTGGCTGCACAACTTGAGAGCAAGATTTGTTTTCTGTGGATAGCTAGAACAGCAAAGGTTTTAAAGTAATTGCAGTCATGTATTTCTGTTGCATCAGACTTTACTTATTGGCTATTCCATTAATTTCTTGTTGGTTTAGAGGTGAATCATGTTTTCAATATAATAGATAACCTTAATATATTAGATATAACTCTACCCAACTCTGCACTTTGTTTCAGCATATTGCAGTTTTTCTGCCTTTTTCTTCTTTTAATAACACCTACTTCTAACAGACGTATGTCTGCTTTCAATGAAGATTCCCACCCCTCACTTTCCATAAGGTTTAATCATAGCAAATAGCACTTCTCTGTGCATGCCAGTCCTCACTGAGATTCAAGCCCTTCTGACTTTCTCCAAATGTGATGTGATAATAAAATTCCACTGTCAGCCATGGAAAGATGCAGAGTAAATTGCTCCACTGCCATCAGATGAATTACAGACTCTGTGCAGACTCAGACCAGCAGGGCTCATTGGCAGAGCTTTAAACTAGGTTTAAAGGGGGAGGGAAGTAATAGCAAGCTTGCCTACGATAAGATATAGGATGACATAACTAGGTTAGAGGGACAGGGTGCTAGTGGAGGCTCTTAGCCTGCTGCCCTGAGATGTGCTGTCAACACTGCAGTGCGACTGAAGTCTTATGACATTGAGTCAGGTGTAACTGAGGCAATAGAAGAAGACAAGACTAGACTCAAGGGAAATAATTCAAAGGAGTTACCTACCAAGAAATTGACAAGGCTGGTTACCCAGCTGAAGTGCCTCTACACAAATGCGCAGTAGAAAGGCTTCTACTGGTATGTCAACCAGAAAAGGAATGTCCAAGAAGGAATGCCACCCCTCAGTGAGCAATACAGACAGGCTGGTAAAAACAGACAAGGATAGACAGAAGTACTAAACAACTTATTTGTCACAGTTGTCACAGGAAAATGTTCTTTATACATCCCTCAACCAAATGGGTTGGAAGGTGGGAACTGGGGCCTTTGACATGATCACACAACATCCTTCTCTCCAAAATGGAAAGATATGGATTTGATGAGTGGACTGTTCAATGGGCAAGAACCGATTGCAAGATGGTACCCAAAGAATAATGGTCAGTGGCTCGATGTCTGGGTAGAGATGAGTGATGTCCACCAGGGGTCAATACTAGAGCCATGAGCTATCCTCATGCTTGCCTTTCAGTATGCCTCACTTCCAACCTAAGGAGTAGTGTGAACATAAACAGCAGGGTCTGAATGGTCAGGGCAGAGAACACCCAGATCCCAGGGTTCTTACAATGAAGAGAAACATCTCAGCCATGCACAGTTCAGTGCAAGTCATAGAGCTGTGCTGCTGGGAATTGGCATTTTGTCACAGCAGTCATTTTATGGGAATGTGTGCTAGGAGGTAATAATGAGTCATATGCAAAGTACTTGTTAATGATAATGTGGCAAGTCCCCATGCTCAGTTTGGAAAATGTACCATCTAGAGTATTGTTTACTGTCTCCCTAGCCAATCTGTTTCTGCTGCACCTCAGGCTTTGCAGACACAGCTGTGCTGGCAGTGTCCCTGTGAAAGCAGATTTCAGGGGTGTAAATAGGACCAGGGGGCTTATTCTGACAGTATTTTTTTCCCCTCTGGTAGTGAATAAAGGAATTATTTCTGTGATGACCAGCAAGGCAGCTGCAGGCAGGAAAATGCTGAATGAATGCAACAGAAAAACAGGCTTATACAAAATCTGAAGCTTGATAGTCTTCATTTTGTTGCTGTTAGAGAGCACCTTTGTATAGAAGATAAAAATATATTGACACAACAATACTGTCTGAACTTGAGGGAGTTTCTTTGGAGTTTTCCTTGGAAAACATTTTTGGGGGGGGGGGGAACACACGGGACAGTAATGGGAGAAGCCAACCTGCTTTAGGAGGGCGTTGATCAGGGCAGCCTGATGTCGTGGTTGGCAACTGTGCCCAGGGCAGAGGAGTTAGAATTTGATGATCTTTAGGGTCCCTTCACTAGAGGTTTCTTCCGACTCCTGTGATTCTGAGAAGCACTAGCTATGTCAAACTGTCCTCCTTGCCTCAAAACTCTGGACTGATATCTGCCAACATCAAAGTTGAGGTCATGTTTTTAAAAAATTGATGCTGTTTGGATCCAAATGTTTAATTTAAATTGGCCTTTCTTTTAAATGTCTTCTTATTCTCTTTCTTTTTTTAAATCTATTTTAGTGCATTGTTAGAAAAGGATGTCCAGGGATTATTGTGAAGTCTCATTGAATGGAAGTGCACATTGTTATATAAAATGTGGAACAAGGACAGTAGCAGAAAAACTGATGGGAACTTAAATTCTGGGTAAAGCTGCAGGATAGTGGTGACAATAGTTGTAGTGCAAGGGATTTAAAAGTAAGCAGGGAATAAGACAGCAGCACAGCATCGGCACTTGTGGAAAAGAGGTTGAGGAGTTGGTGGAAATATAAATGGAAATTTGCATCAGAAAAATTCACAGCCTGATGTAAATAGGATCAGTTTGTGCCATGTGGTCCACTGAAAATCTGTGCCTGAGGGCAGAATTTGGCCTCTCCTAAGTGCTCGTTAGCTTGCTGTAGCCTTCATTTGTTTCTAGGAGCTGATAGTTACTATATTTTCACAGCAGGTAGAAATGAGGTTTAACTATGATTTCTTCAAGGAGATTTGGGAAAGAAAAGGAGTAAAAAAAAAAAAAAAAAAGTGTTCAAGGCCTTTTTTCTTCCCTGTATGTACTGCATTGTTCTATGCTTAAACCCCTGTGTTTTTGATTACAGATATCTTGTGGAAGAAATTAAGAAAAGAGAAGGATTTCAGCTTCTTTTGGAGGTAAGTGAAAATGGAATTGAAGTAGTATTATTGTGGTTTCTTGTCTATTGTTTGGCTTTGTTCTTTTTAGCCAAATGCCACTTTACGTTTGAAGTGTGTAATTCAATAAGCTGTGATGCACAGATGTGTTCGAACACATATGTTCTGTATTCCCTACCATCAGTCTGCCCATTATCATAGCTTCTGGGCCTGTATTACCTCAGGGTGTATAAATGGAGTGCTTTTCTGTGAAAGTGAAGAGTCTGACTGGTAAAAATGTAGTGCTTGCCAGACTTGCAGATAGGATTGTGTGCTGGAAGAATAATCAGAATACTTTAACTTTTCATCATTTAAGTCCTTTTTTTTCTTCCCCCTCCCCCCCCCTTAATTCTGTTTCTACAACCATCTTCCTAAAAACTAACATAAAGTTATTTATTATTGCTAAACCCATCAGCTTAATATCTGATAATTGTCTTGCTTAGGGGAGAATGAGCAGGGTTAAAGACTTCCATTTCTGAGCCTATCCCCAGCTATTTGTTTACTGAGATTAATATCTGGGATGGAGAAGGGGGAGAGGGCATTGAAAAGACCTGTCATCTGCTTTCTTGGAAGTGTACGCATCTCGAAGGCTGCTGGGTGAATACCATGAATAGGGAGAGAACACTCAGAAAGCAACAAATGTTAAGATGCAGATTTGGTTTACATTTGCTGATGCAATGAGCATTCTAGGTTAGGCTAGAATTAATATGAGATATATATTTAAGACTATATTTCTTGTAGAACTTAAACTTCTTCCTTTTAACTTTGAAAACTGCTGACTTGAAAGTGCATACTGGGAAACTGTATATGCAGTCAAGAATGCTGGGAAACAGCACTTGATTGGTTTACTGAAGTGGTACATTCATTAAAAAACTCTCCCTTCCCCATTATTGTAGGGATTAGCAATAAGGCTAGATCTACTGTAGATGTGAAAGGTGTTGGGTGAGCAGAGGCTGCTGTTTAGTTCCTTTGGGAATAGGACACCTGGATGGAGAATGAGATTGGAGAGAGTGCTATGTTATGGGCTATGAGAAGGAGGTTGAGCAAGGGTTAAAAAGTTTTCAGGAGCATAAGAGGACAAGCAGTGAGAGTTTAAGGAAAGTCAGGGCAAGTCAAGTGAGCCGTTTATGAAAGGAAATTGGACTTCAGACAAGAATCTTGGGAAGATGATCCTCTGGTGCACGCAGAGAAAGTCTTGTAATGAGAACTGCTCTGCAGCCTGGAAATACCACACGTGCATGTGTCATCTTGAACTCCTCGGTGGTACAACTGCTTACCTGCTTGGATGAGAACTGTGACAAGATGACAAGAAATAGTGAAGCATAGCTGGGGGTAGTTGGGATTTTCTTGGATGAACAGTATTTTCAGAGAGGGATGAAGTATCTGATATGTGAAAGGAAACAGAGATAATCAAGGAGGCAATATAGGCAGTGGCAACGTGGTAATATATGCCATCTGCTTCATGCTGTCATCTGATTTTAAACAGTTTTAGAATAAACCCTCCAACAGTCAGCTCATATTTGCGTTCATGAGGAAATCACTGCCTCTTTAGGGTCTGTGTTTGTGTGTACTTAGTACAGGCACTTAGGGGGAAGAAATGAGACTTCAAGTGCTGAGCTTTTTTTCATTCAGGGACAGGAGGTGGCAGGTTTGCAGTTCTATTCCTGCTGACAACGATATTCTCCTTGATGATTAAATTGTATTTAATGCATTCTTTGAAGCGAGGCGGAAAATGGTATGAGCAGTTCCCAGTGCCCTTTCATGAAAGAGCACATCTCAGCTGGCGGGCTCTCCTCATTCAGGGTCTGCCTTGGTTGTAAGAGCAGCCGCATTCAGTGGGATGAAGCAGTGGTGTGATCCATCTATCAGGCTTCCTTTTTTTTCATTCAATCATACTAATGAGGATGGTGTGTGGAAGGGAGAGGGAGTGTTAGTTCATAATCCAAGTTGTGATTTAGAACCCAGTTAAATACTGCGTTGCAAATGATATAGGTCAAGATTAACTGAGTGTTGCTGTGGTAGCATTGGATAGGATTGGAACACATATCTACTCATGCTATTGCTATCTGTACAGGTAAAAAATAGAATAAAATTTGTTCCAAATTAGTATGAAATTTAGTCAGATTCTGGAATGGTCTGCTGGGAGCCTTTTTTCAATTACAGGCAAAATGGAAACCTCATAAAACAAAATGCTTTCTTTTATAATGTATGATGAACATCCATTCTTCAGGAGGCTTGCAGTTTACTCTCCACTGAGTTTAAATGAAACATTGTGCAGGAGGGAAGCAGAGATGTGGAGTCTTTGCTCAAAAGACTTGCTTAGACATTGGACAAGATCTTTACAATACATGGCATGTATCAGATAAAGCATCCTGAGATTCATTAAGAAAAAAACACAAAAACAGCAGGATCTGAGAAGACCAGCATTAACTCAATAGCTACATAGTGTGCTACATGTCATGATCTAAGAGAGAATTGGCACAGTTGAGTAGAAAAATGACTGGGTGTGCAAATGCTAAGCAGTGCCAAAAATAATGAGCTTGTGTGTTTTGTATAAAATGCATCATATGAAATCTGTATTCTGAAAACGGCACTTTAAAAAAAAAAGTAGTAACTTTAAAGAGAAATACAGTTTTGAAATCCACGTGTTAGCTTTTTATGCCTCTCTTACACTTTTTTTTTCCCAATGAAAATTTCTAGCAAGGCAAAATTAAGTAGGTATGTCTTAAGAATTGAAGGAGTCCCAGTAGAATTCAATTTTCTGGCAGTAGGGAAAGGAGTGGACAATGTTACGAACGTTCTTTTTTCAGAAAGGGGAAACAAAAGATAAATTGGAGAAGGAGGACTCAAAGTGTAATCTTCAAATAAGGCAGAACTTGATGAGCTGTAATATGTTTTCCTGTCCTGTTGTCTGTATTTTATAAGCAATCTCTTGTTCTCTTATTTAGCCGGAGTACGCAAATGTTTGTTTTTGGTACATTCCACCAAGCTTAAGAAAAATGGAGGATGGACCTGAATTTTGGCAGAAGCTGCACCGGGTGAGTGACACATGAACAGTGTTATCTATAGCTTACTGATGTATTTATGTGCTGTGTAAGAATGTGAAATAGCCCCTGGCTTTTCCTGGCGTTTAACTGACTGTAGAATAGTGAACTAACTGTTAAACAGATACTAGTAGCTTTTAAAATTTTGTTCCTTATTTAGACAGAGCAAATTTATATTTTTTTAATGTGAAAAAAAAAAAAGCAGACATTTACAATTATTCGGCTTACTATCAAAGTTGTAAACAGATGGCAGAACTGAAAGAAGATGAACAGTCTTGTCTGCATCTCCTGTCTAGACAGGGTATTTGTTACCTATTTCACTGAACATTGTCCTTGGAACTTGTCTCGTATTACCATAGAAAATGTAGGTGAGGAAGTGCTTAAGAGTAAGTTTCTGATGTTAAACAACCCAGAAACGGAAGTAGAAATACAATGGTAAAAAAAACTTCACTGGAGAGTATTTTCAGTAAGTCTTGGGTATAAATTTGTAAACGTTCTGAAAAAAGCAGCAGTGAAATTTTGGAGTGAATAGCTGGGAATCAGTTGTTAAGACCTGATTAAGAAACTAATAGACACTAGTATTATGTATCAGTGAATAATCTCTTCTGTGAGGAATTAAGTTCATTAAGTGTTCTGCTTTTTTTTTTTTCCCTCGAATTTCTTAGTAGAAATTTAAAATGATAGCACTGGTAATGTATAAACAGACAAAACATGCATACTTCTTATAAAGTTGGCTTTTCTTTCAGCAGCTTTCCTTTCTCAGGAATTGCTTTCAATTTATGTTGGATGCTGTGGTCTTTCTGGTATGAGGTCTTCCTTAAATGTCCTTGTTGTGTTGTGAAGTATATTTACCCATTGCTTTACAAAGTCATGTATAGCTAGGGTGTGCTTTTACCATGTTTTCACAAAGCATGGATAGACTGTGATCCATCCATCCAGTCTTGTTAGGTTGAAAGGTGCACATATACATATACGTAACTGTATATCAGCTTCTGAAATTGTGCAGAAGTAAGGTTTTGAAAAGAGAGGAAGGTATAGAAGAAGTAATGCTGCCACCTTTGATTTATATATGCCAGAGAGAGGACTGAGGAGGGAATGGATACAGCACAATGAATGGCTTTGAGCACATACATCTTGTGTGAGTGAGTGGCTTTTTTAATTCCTGGTTCTTTGCTGTGGTGCACAATGGTGCTCCCATTCAGTGTGAGGAATAGTTATGATATAGATTGAGCCAAGAAATGCAGATTCCTGGCAGGTGTTTTGTGAGATAGAGCTTGTATTAAGTTTCTCCTGAGAACTGAGCACTACTGCAGGTCACAACAATGCCTTTCATTGGCAAGGTGACATTTTGATTCTTAGTGCCTCTGATGAAGAATTAAGAAAACCAAAACAATAACATGGGTCATAATACATATCAGTGAGCAGGTGAGATGGCAGCACCGAGTCTCACACAAAATAAAGCTGACTTGACTATTTTTGCTAATGTCAGTTTGTTCTGTGACCTAAGGTTGCTGGTGTAAACACCACACTCCGTTCTTTGTATTGCATTAATCAGTACAAGTACATGGTTGAGGAAGAAGGAACACATCCTTTACTAGCCAGGTATAAGTGATGGGAAGATGTAGGCTGGAGATAGTTTTGCCCCATGCCATCAGCAGGTGGATGAGGATGCATGCAGTTCCTTGATTGCGAGTGCATCCTGCATTTTCCTATTATTTCACAAACCTAAGCATTAGGATGCTTTAGTTTACAATCTGTCTTTCCACGTAATGTTTAAACATCAGTTATCCTGTTGTCTCGCTCCAATTTCTAGGAGGGAGAGGAGGTTCTTTTATTATCTATATACCCGGCGTGAGATTAAGAAGCAACGGTTCAAATGTTGGTCCAACCAGTTTATTACAAATCTTAATCAGGGGAAATGGGGAAGGGGAGAACGGACACTATTATGAGTTAGGGTAATGGGGGAAGGGAAGGAGGGCGATAGAAAAGACAGAAAAGAAGAAGCAAGGAGTCTTTATAGGAAGCAAGAGGGACATAGTCACCACCATGGATCCAGCGTGGTTCGTAGTTCCGTCTTTGATCCTCAGTAGTGGTGGGTCGTTGGGCATTGTTGTTCTATTGACGACGAAGGACGACCATGACCATGGTGATGATGGCCCTTTTTCAATGCTTCAAAGTGGTTGAGTCAGCTGTTTTTGGAGTGACAGCTCAAATCCAAAGTGGTCGAATCAGCTCTCCTTTGAGTGACAGCTCAAAGCCAAGGTGGTTGAGTCAGTTCTCCTTGTGGTGGCAGCTTCTGGCTCTGGGATCTCAGCAGGAACCTCCTTTGTTCTTATCTTTCTGGCCTTGCCAGAGGAAGCAGGGAGGCACCAACTTGCATCTTGCCTCCGCAAGACACAATGGTATCATCCCCCAGCCTTCCATACTTAGCTGGAGCGGTTTGGCCACAGGCCAGATCTTCGGCCAGTGAACACTGCTGAGCACTCTCTTCCGCTCTTCTACAGAGCAAGCAGCTCTGGGGGAAGGGGCTTGCAAAATGTTCCCAAAGCGATATCGATTGTCACACAGTTAGCACCCATCAGTTGCCTCCTTGACAAGTCACTCAGAGTCTTATCACAAGAAAAGCCTCAGGAAGCAAGCTTTGAGCCAAAAAAAAACAACCAAAGAAGGATTCTCACACCTGTTCATTCAGAAATTGATCTTTCTTTTTGTTGACCTGCATATCTGACAATAATTAAGAAAATGCATGTCTTAGAAATCCCTTGAGCAACTGATTGATTTCATTCAACTCCGTGTTGAGCGGTATTTTTTTTGAAAGAAGATGCCATCTAAGGTTAGCTATGTATGTTTTAGTACTGGTGAGAGTTGATAAGCCAATAACCCTGGTCTCGAGTTCTCAGATTCGTGAAGAATTTGCATAGTCCTATGCAAAATAACCCTGAAGGTTTTCTGCTGTGCCGGCTCTTCTCCCGCTTTCGCAGCCTACCGTGTGTGGGAATGTCAGGGTGGACTGCATCACAGCATGGTACTTGATTCTGATGTCAGTCTTCTAGCTGTCCTACGTTAACTGTCTATCTGAAGTTTCTTTTTTTCCTAGTTTTTTTTTCTTTTTCTGTCCCTTGAGTGTTGGGATCTTGGGTGGGCTGTGGGTGCATAACCTACTGTTTTCAGAATCTCTATTATTTAAAATGAAAGGTGATGGAAAAGAGTATGCTGAAAGACACGATGTAGCCACTGACTGGTCAGGAGTCATCACTACACTTCAGAGAATGATAAACAACATAGTGTGAAGACCAGAATAAATGGTATATCACCCTGTTAATCAGTGAGAAAGGGAATTCTGAGTACAGCTGTGGTCTTGCAGTATTTGCATCTCTTAGAGTTGCAGCTGGAATTAGGTGTATGGGGAAGCTGGTTCTTTTTTACAGTACATCAAGGCACTGGATGCAGGTGCATACTCCAGGATAGTCTATGCCATGAATGTTTTGCAGTACACAGTATAATTCAGATGGCATAAATCTTGTGATGCGAGGTGGCATACAATGTCATTTTTCCTAAAAGGGATTTCTTCTTATAGAAACCAAAGGAATGGAAATTCTTGTAACTGGGGAGTTACTGTTCAATTCAACTAGAAATACTTGTAAGTGTGGTTGTTTTGTCATTGCAAACTTAGAGCTGCTGCTGCTGACCTGGAACGACTTAAGGAGCTAGCCTTGGAATCAGTTTGCTAAAGTTGGATGTGCCCCCTAGTGGTGCTTTTTCTCCTTTCCCTTTCAGGAAACTGCAAGATTTGCTTTGTTTACTGCTAATCACAATCAGTGTGCCACTTATGCACAGTGATATAACCATGATTGGAAATTGTAAGCCAGAAGTGGAAGTGAAGAGAGAAATCAAAGTTTTAAGCCTATGCCATTCAAATGTTCATATCTTATCCATAACTATTGATATCTATGCTTATTCTTACTTGCAACGTTCTGCTTACAAATTCAGAGGTTCCAAAATTCAACTCATACTGGAATGTCTCCAGATGATGCAGAAGTAGCTGATTATTGATAATACTATCTCTGAAAAGCCTCCAGGAAGTGCAGGTTTTGCTGAGGCATGAGGAAGTATTTGCGGGGATACATCTGGAACTGTTGCCATTCTGTTGCTAACCGTTCCATCCAGTTATTCCTTATGTTCTAGATCAGCTGGCAGTTTGCTCAGTATCTGTGTGGTCTGGAGGACTAAGAAGGAGAAACAGAAGTAACTGTCTTTAAAAGAGCCCTCTTCTATGGAACCTGGCTGTGCTAAGGGGCTCTGGAACGTGAACTGTAGGCTGCCGCGTAATGGATACTGCACAGTAAAGAGGGATGGTGGTACTTACTGCCAAGCACCAAAGTCCTCAAAGCTGTGGTATAGAAAACTTCAGTATATTTCTGTTCCCTCTATTATTCTTTATTAGATTTTGCCTAGGCCATAGTTCTAAACAACGTGTGCTGGAATATCTGAATTCCAGTGGTTCAGTAAAGATTTGTATACTGTAATTAGTTGCAATTACTCAAAATTCAAGCACCATAGTTTTGGACTTTATTTGTTGGGGTTTTTTTTTGTTTTGCTTTCTGTCCTTTTGTGGATTTTTGGACAAATAATACAAACTTTATTTGCAATATTAAAAAGCTGAGGATACACTTTCATAATAAAGCCCATATAGCTTGGAATGTTGTTTTTGTTGCTTTCTCCCACTTAGTAAAGGGCAGCCTTGTTCCTATCTTTCCCCCCACCTAACAGAAGAATATAGATGTCTGCTAACTGAAGACACTTGTAAAATAGCCTGTCATGCTGGCTGGTGTTGTGATACATTTATGTAATGAGAAGCTTCATATCAAAGCAGAAATATAAGGGGGTTGAAGTGGTGTTGCCTTGGCAACCTCTGAATCTTGTGGTCTTTGTGGTATAAATCAAACTCTAATCAAGGACCCGATTCAGTGTTCTCTATGTATTCAAAATACATA